GATTAAACCTACTTATTTCACTACGGTGACCGCAGGTTCCACCTATTCTAAAAACCTAACTAGTATTTCGTTAGGTAGACCCTGGGGTCCACCTTAAACCTACCTATTTCACTACGTTGACCCCGGGGTCCACCTTAAACCTACCTATTTCACTACGTTGACCCCAGGCTCCACCAATCCTTAATTAAACCTAGATCTACGTTGACCCAGGGGTCCACCAATCCTTCGTTAAACCTAGATCTACTTATTTCACTATGTTGACCCCGGGGTTCACATCCTAAAACCAAGCATTTTGTCAGGTAGACCCGGGGTCCACCTATCCTTTTGGCTAGGTAGACCCCGTGATCCATCTATCCACCTCCTTGATAATAACTGAAAACAATACAGTTGTCCTCAATAATGAAGAAAAATGTGTGAAAAAAAAAGATAAGGAGGTAAACTATAATTCGTCCAAAAAATTGCAAGTGCAAGTGAAGATCATAAGATAATTTTGTTATTTTCTGGTCATCTTTTCACGGTTTATAAAATGTTCCAGTGGGCCTACTACTAGATCTCTGTCTCTGAAGAACATTTTGCTTGACTTTATTAGCTTTTTTCATGTACTTGAAAGCATAAAATAGGCCTATAGTTTCACTCAAATGTAAGTACAATACTTTGAAAAAGAAAGATAAGGTCATTGGTGGGTTTTTTTTTAAGGAATCCATTTGACATTGACAAAAGCACTAAAAACAAGTTTTACATTTGTTAGAATGCCCACAATATGAGGAAATTACTCCCTAGTTGGCTTACCCTTTAATAATCATGAGCAGTTAAGAAAAAAAGAGAATGCTGTAGGATTTGTCTAAATATGACCATCAGCTGTAAAGATATTGCCCATTTTGTCCGATTATCCTTGTGGGTGGTCTTAAAATCACCCTGCACTGTACCTCAATAAGCACAAAAAGAATATTCCTTGACTTTGTATAGAAGTGTTTTGTAGTTGAGTTCTATGAGAAATTCTCAACAAAATAATGTACATTTGGACCGTACAACTGAGATAGACACTCACGCACTTAATGACATTCACACACACACACACACACACACACACACACACA